TTTTCCTCCTTTTAGGGGCAGCCAATTCATCTCAGACCACCACCAGCTAAAAAAGCCTTAAAAATTAGCAGGCTTTTTTTTTTTTTTTTTAATTCTCTCCCCCATCCCATTGCGGGGGGTAAGCGAACAGCTGTGTGGTGTTTAGCTGCCTGCCGGGTTAAACAGCAACAACTTTAAATTTAATTTTATTTATCTGTGGAGTTGGCAGTTTCCTTATTTCCTTACTGAAGAAAAGGATATAAAATATCATCAGAGTTGGTTAGGACAGTTCCTTGTTTAGTGACTAGAGCTACTTTGGAGACAAGCTGGCTATAATGAGGGAAATGCACATCTGAGTGTTGGTGCCTTCCCATAGTGTTCCTCAAGTTGTAGTTGCAGTTGTGAAGAAAATTTCTTGACCTTGGGTTTTTTTCTTAGGTCCTTGTTGCCCCACCTTTTACTCGTCGCTTACAGTGATCATATTGCTTCTGTCAGTCGTAAAGAATTTTCGGGTAATTTTTGTTGTGCTTTTTTGATGATCCACAGTAGTTACTCTAGAGCTTTATGGGGTCTTTAGAAGCACTGAGCCTGGTGAAGACAAAGAGCTTAAATGACATGATACCCTGTGAGAAGCCACCGTAGAAAGTAGACTGGCTTGTTGTGCTGCTGGTATGGTGTGCTCCTGAGGCGTGCTCTGTATCAGCCCAGCTTTCTGAAGAGCTGATGGTGGTGTGCCCAGGTATAGTCCAGATATGACGCGAGCCACAGTGCTCCAGACTTGCTCCCTCTCTAAGGCAGCTAGAAGCAGTTCTGATGTTGTGAACCAGAGACATATTTATATCCTAGGTTTGAAAATACATCATTTCATTACAAAATAAATTATGTTTATCAATGCAATTAGTATTTGTTTATTTTGCCACATTTCTTAAAGCTTTGGTAACTTGTGCTTTACTAAATTATATCCTTAACTTTGGAAACTCCTGCGTAAGTGAATCTCTCAAAGAATTAATGTTGGTGGTTTTGTGTTGTGGTGGTGTTTTTTTTTTCTCCCCAAATATTCTAGTCTCTTTTCCTAGCGTGTGACAGAGCTGTAGAAAGTGTTATGAATAGAAGCTGAGCAATGGTTCACAATGAGCAATGTACAATCTGTTAAATCTTGTTGTCTTATTTTGCTGTCTTATAAATGATTTGAACTGTGAGGAAGTGAGAAGCTTAGTCCTGCCAGGAAAACAAAAAATCCTGGGAGGTTGAGAATGGTTTCTTATTTATTTGCTTACCTCAAGAAAGCTGTGACTATGATGGAGTCTAAAAAGACTGAGATAACCCACAGACTGCAAAATGCATTTGCTTCCTGGCCTAGTGCTTATGTCCACTCTGTGGGGGACAAACCTTCAGAGCAGACTGGCTGTGGACGCTCCACATAGCAGCTGGTCATGGGTCTCCTGTGGGCCTGGGTGATCATGCGGCCTGAAGATGCAGTTGCTTAGTTGTGGTTCCTTCAGCTACTCTGAATCTGGGGGAAAAAAGTGACTGTTATCCTGGAACTGCCAGGGTGGTGTATTAACTGTGAAACTGAGGATCTATGTTGCATACTCAGTGCAGTAGCAGGAGAGCATGGAGATGCTTAAGAAGTCAGGGTCTGTTAGGATAGTGTCCAAGCAGTGTGCAGGAAGGAGTGCATTTTCTTAGAGTAGTCTACCTCATGGACTCTTACTTCTGCTTTTCAGGAGGGCTCATTGGAGTGAGCTATCCCCAGAACCACAGCTTTTTTTGTTTTATAGGAAACTCGTTGGCTTACTCTAAAAGAGAGCTTAGGAGTGATTAGCATTTGTGCGGTGTGGATATTCAGCGTAATAGATTATTGGAATGAATTAGGAACTCAGCTATTGCTTGACAGCGCAGTCATCGTATTGCTATCTGTTGAGAATATTTTAAGTAAAAGCTGAGAGGCTCATTTTATGAGGATATTTCTGAGGCTTATTGAGATCCCGCGTTTTCAGTATCATGTTTAATTCAATTATAGTATCTGCCTTGCAAGGCATTCTGTGGTTCCACACTCATTAGCTAGTATTACTTGGATTTTAAAGTTTGAATTTTGTGAAGAAGCTCTGTTTCTCCTGTGGGTAGCATGTTGCTTTAAAAGTCGGGAAAGATGAGATGAGAGAAGACGTTTCCTGGCACAAGATTACAGCAGTATCTGGTTTTCTGTTTGTCTCCGAGGAACTGTCCTAAGGGAGCTGCATGCGCTGTTTATAAAGATAAGACAATAAGGGAATTAAGTTTGGTTACTTACCTATTCCAAAAGCTAGGTGAAGACACGTGAACTTAAAAGTGTATTTCTGAGAGAATACAAGATTGAGCAATTTGTTTATCTAGCGGTGTGTTATTAATACCCTTAACACTGCAGTCTTTGGGCTTCATGGATTTTAGTCTGCTTTAATACTCTAGTAATCGAGTTGCTTTTCCCCACCCTTGAATTTGAGGTGTAAGATAATAAATCCCCTTCCTTTGATAGGCATCTTGGTAAGCACATACAGAAGAGGGGTGGAGTAGTAGTAGGTACTCCATGGTATGTTATACTCAGCCACTATCTGTTATGAAAATATTCCACTAATACTTGCTTTACAGTTTCAGCGTTTATTTTGTCTGTGCCTAAGAGGTCTTACTCCAGTTTTATCTCAGAAATTGAAAGTCTTAACTGTTACAGCCAATGGCATCAGTTTATAAAGTGATGATTTTAAAGAAATCTAATGTAGTGGAACTTGCTCATTAAATAATTAAGTAAAGGATGCTGTAAGGATTTTGAGGGAGAACAACTTCTGTGGTCTATGTGTCAATTTGTGTGAATACTTTTTTTTTAAGGTAATTTTTACTGCTAGATAACATTCTTCTGAGAAAATCTGACTCCCACACTCTGTTTTGGGTATTGTTTGGTTTGTTTGTATGCTTTAACTAGAAGGAACTGAACATGAAATTATTATGCTTCAGAATTGTTGGTATAGTTTTTCACCCACTTTCTCTTTTTGAAAAAATACTAATATTACTTTAGCTACTACTACTTTGTAGTTCTGAGAATGAATATTGTTTTACTGTTGTCCCGTTTTCGTTCAACAAATACATTATGCATTTATGCCATCTCTGCATGTTTATTTCAGTGCAATGCGTGTATTGTTGTCCAAGTTACCACGACCATGGATTGTTGATGAGAAAAAAGATGATGGTTACACTGCCTTGCATCTGGCAGCTCTCAATAATCATGTGGAAGTGGCTGAACTTTTGGTGCATCAGGTAGGACTCTTTTCTTGGGAGGATTTAAATGTCACACTTCAGTTAACCATCTGATGTGAAAATAGTTTGCTTCTTTGCACCTGCAATCGCAATGCAGAAGCGATGGAGCAGGGAAGGACACGTGGTGAGCTCTAAAGGTCAAACTTGCCTTTGAGATCATTACAATGGCCTAATGGTGCGGAGGGACTGAAAAATTTGATACCTAGTTTGATTCAACAGATCAATATCTGTACAGTGAATAATTAAAGTATTTAATCACTTCTGCTCTCAAATCTCCAAACTAGGAATCATTTTCAGTGTCGTATTCAGTGCCCTAATAGACTGCCTTGCCTGTAGATGAATTGCTGGGATGATAATGCTCTAATGCTCTGAATATCTTTCAGGGCAATGCTAACCTGGATATCCAGAATGTTAACCAGCAAACTGCTCTGCACCTTGCCGTTGAACGACAGCATACACAAATTGTTAGGGTAAGTGTCTTATTTGCAATAAGCCATATGGTTAATGGTGCTTGATTCAAGCTGACTGGAGCTGTTAGGACATGGGTACTTCATGCATATTTAAAAAATGATTTAACAACATGTAGCCATTGAATGTTTGTATGATTAATCTTGATCAATTCAGAAACCTGCCAACTTGCTCAGAAGGTCAGTCGGCAATATGAAGGACATTTGAGGAATGTTAAATTTTTGTGCATGTACATTATGGTTTCCTCTATATGGTTGCCAAGTCCAGCATCCCTCCTTGTTGAGTAAGGGAGAATGTGTTCCTCTGTTACTTGTCTGAGTCTTGTGGTCCTGTAATGGGACGTTCAAATAGCATTTTTGATGCCTCTTGCTGTATGAGTAATTATTCTTGCTCATAGTGTTTGCAAATTGTAGCTAAGTGAAGCATCTTTTTACGAGTTTAACTACTTTTCAGTCTTCTGAGTGTGTAACTTTCCCTGTTCTTAGCTTTGGAGGGCTATAAGCAGTAACAAAAGTACCTTACCAGTGAAAGTAATGCTATTTCTGTTTTTTGCTCACACGGTTGCAAAAGTTAATACTTCAATTTCTTTGTTACTGGCACAGGAAACGGGAGTCTAGCACGGCTTGCCCATTCTGGCCTGTGTACACTGTCCATAGGGGGTCTATGTGACTTAGTGTTTGGATTGCTAGCGTGGGCTGTTGAGGCTCAGAGGGAGCACTCACTGCTGTAGGAGATGTTCCCTGTGAGTGAATACATCAACCTGGCCTTGGCCCTCTGTAAATTTTTTTAATTTGTCTTCTTAGAGAGAGAGTCATGTTATATTAAAAACTGTCTGTTATTCAGGCCTACAGAGAATTGTCCGCCCCTGTGCAGACCTGTATCTGCAGTTCTGTTTAGTGTTATTTTGCCGTAAGGTTTCTCCATCTCCAAGGCTTGATAGATGTGATCCCATTACAGTGAAACATGTGATACGGCCCTATATCTGGAACTGCTTGCTACCAAAAGAATGGTTTCCTAGAGTCAGTATCACTTGCATTCTGCAAGCTATTCGGCAGCTATATTTGGTGAGCTCTTGTGCCCTTCTGGAACTGACACAGTACCTGGGAATACAATACTAATGTAGCAGATGAGCAGGAAGGTAGGCATGTAGAAGAACTAGTATGCGTATTGGACGTGCTTATATCCGAGAATGTTTAAGTGAATGACCCTGTAGAGTATCCGTACTTCAGAGTTGGATTAACTTTGAGAAGTCCTAAAATAACTCATGCAGCCATGCGAAGAACATGTTGGCTCCATATTTCAAAATTAATTCCTATTGGGTACCCTCCAGGGCTGGGTTGTACCCTCAGGCATCTGTGGAATAGTGGTCAAAGGTAGCAGGGTTTTTTTAAAAGCCCTGCTGCCATGACAAAGGATGGTGGTTTGCTTTTTTTTTTTTAACTTCTGCTAACGCTTTGAATTTCCATGGGAGCCAAGGATTCCAGGTTGCTCTGAAAAGAGTTCTTTTATAGATTTTCTTCCAGGAGAAACTCTTAAGCAGTAAATAGCTAATGGCAGACACAAGATATGAATATGAGAAAGAAAAATTGGTCCAGAGTAAGTCCATTTAGAGAGTGTAAGAAGTTGAGGGGGAGACTGTTGCAACTATTATCTGGTTTTCTTGGTTTCACTTGTGGAAGGAAAGGTTGGGGAAAATGGTAAGCTGCAGTCAGTTACACGCAGGTATTTCCTTGAAAATTGAGTTCTGAATTCCCTTTAAGCTATTTTCCTTTTAGCCTTTTCTAGAGTCTGAGATTCTTTGGTTCCAAGAGGCTGAGATCCTTGTAAGCATTCAGGTTCTGAAGAGGGAGATCCCACTTCATGTATTCCTTTTTTTCGGCTATGCCTTTTGTCTCTGCTGCTAATCCGAATTTTGCAGAGTAGCAAAAGCTCAAAACTAAAGTTAAAACCTCAGCTGCTATCTACAGGTTTCTGAATAGTGACAATGACAGGGTTTAATTTTTAGGGGCAATTGCTATTTGTCAGCATGTGTTGATTTGTTTTGTTTAACAGCATATTTAAGAAAGTTCTGGTGCATCAAATATGGGAGGGCTGTATGCAAAGGCAATGTGAATAGGAGGGCCTGTGCAGCCTTATGCTTGCTTTCACGTCACGTGACCTGGAACGTGTGTCTAAAATTAGCCTTGAAGACGAGTCTTACAGTTCATTACTTTCCAAAGTGTTCTGAGATAGTATTTAATAGTGTCAGTGGTTTTTATGTCTTCTGCTGAATAAGGATAAACCTAAGTACATGCTTAACCACTTTGCTAATGGGAGGATACTGTAAATTAAGTTGTAAAGTTTAGCATGGTGTGGAAGTGGTGATTTTTGAGGTCATTGAAACTGAATAGTAAAGAATATATATGTATCTAAAGCATTGCACACTTGTTCTGTTTCTGATATATTGCTGTAATATGTTACATTGTTTGTAGGCTATCTTGTAAGAATTAAAGGTTTTCGACAGTAGAAAGAATCCTCTAAAATAGCATCTCTTGTAGTGTTCCCACAGAGCATAGGCAAGCATTAGGCTTCTGCTGAAATAAGCTTGATGTTTGAAAGAGACAAATGCTGCAGTTGAGGGCTGAGCTCCAAGTATGGAAAATAAATTTAAATAAACTCAACTGTGAATTGTAGCAAGATAAAAGAATAACCCTTTTGGACCTCCTAGAGCATCCTAAATCATAGTTTCACTGAAATTAGTTTTAAAAGGAATAAATAGCTTTTTTTGACTTTTAAATTGGTTTCTCTCTCATTTCAGCTCTTAGTCCGTGCAGGTGCTAAGCTGGATATTCAGGATAAAGATGGGGATACTCCCCTGCATGAAGCCCTGAGACACCACACCCTGTCACAGCTCCGCCAACTCCAAGACATGCAAGATGTGGGCAAGGTAGATACTGCTTGGGAGCCATCAAAGAACACAGTAAATAAAATGCATTTATTTATTCCTTTTTTTTCTGGCACGTTTGTCTCTTTATTTGTCTAGTTTGTCTAGTTCTGTACTGTTGAACTGTTTTTTGGCAGCGTAAGTTTACGTAGACATTCTGCATTAGACTGCAGTGTAGGCAGAAATCATATTGTTATATGTGGCTTTTCACATGTAGTCATTGTCTTTGTTAAAGAAAAATATGGGTTATTTAGTTCAAAATATTTCTACAAGTCTTTCTTCCATAGTGAACGTGTATGGCTGCCAAAAAATCAAAAGTAGCTTTTTAGGAAAGAGAAATAAACTGTATTACAGTACAGAATAAGACTAAAATTATGTTTTCTGTGATTCAACATCTTGCATGTCTTTGAGCTTTAATTGTTTCGCTGCTTCTATAACCACCTAAAAATTTATTCTGTTAGAACAAGGCATTCTTAATCTTTGTATGTTTATTGTTATGTATCTTTCTGACAGAGTTCATTTCAGAAATTGTGCTGTAGTATGGAAATAGTCAAAGAACTCCAGGTGAAAAAGGTCAAAATGTTTTATTGAAAAAAGAAACGCTCACACCCAAAAAGCTGTGTGAACACCATATGCAAAAATGAAGTTTATAGTTTTGCTGATAGGCAAAAGAGAAATAAAATTTTGGAGTGATTGGGATTGAGAAAAACAAACAACAATTTTGTCTTTAAATATTAAAGATGCTAACATAACAGTGGATCAGATTTGCTGAATCATTAGTTACCAGTGTTATAATATTTTTTCTAACTTTAACTGTGCATTTCGTTCAAAAAAACCCCACCAAATTTATTAAAAAGCCTTTGTTCAAAACAGTAATTCTACTGTACAACAAATGTTTTTCAGACTGGTTACTTAATCTCACTGAAATACACTGGAATAAGCTTTGAAAAGAGATATGACTGGCATATGTAAGAAAATGCTTGTGTCCTTTCAAGTGAGAGGAGGAAAGCAATTACAGTTCAGTTGTTTCCATGATCTGAAATGGACTCTCTGAGAGGTGGCCAAAATACTTTGTGTGCATGTATTTAACTGTGAAACGAATGAACAGGAGATAAATACTTTTTCTCTGACTCAGCATTTCATAAATAGGTTTATTGCCCATCTTATTAGTGGCATCCACAATGAAACCAGAGTTGTTGTGTTTTGAGTTTTTTAACACAGGAAGTGGGGTTTTTCCCTACCTTTTTAAATTTTAGTTTTGGGGGATTTTATGTTTCAAAGAATAAGTTTTTCTTCTAATTTCATTTGAGATGTATCCCTGGTTTAAAAAAAAAAAAAATTATTACACTTTTGGTTAATTTCTATTAAAATAATAATTAAAAAAAAGGGCCGGGGGGAAGATGCCACAACAAACAAATAAACAAACAAAAAAATCCCTGCATGATTGGATCTCTGATCATCTAAAAACGTTCTAATGTTTAAAAAGAAAAAGTAACGATCAACCAGTACCTCCTACATTAGCTTGATCAAACTGTTGGTCTTTTTTTTTGCACTTTGTTTAGCTGCAGAGAAATTTTTTGCCTAACTAACAAATTTGGGAGGTTGGGAGGTTTTAAGTGGTGTGGAGAAGATATGTCCCCCCAAGAGAAAAGGTGAAAAATTGTTTCTTTTAATTTTATGTGGCTGAAATGTAAAAGATGGAGTAAAGCCTGGCTAAAATATACCTGAAAACTCTTTAAGATGATCAGCAGATCAAACTATCTTGAAAATGGTTGTTTTGTGGAAAATAGTAAATGAGAACAATACTTGTACCTATCTACCTTTACTTAAAAAAAGGTAATGTAAAAATGCTATGAACTAGATTTTTCCAGTAAACACTTTTAATATTAAGCCACCTTTGGCCCAAAATCATATGTCAAAAAAAGACAGGATCTAGGCTGCTAAAATATGTGCTAAAATCTGGACCTTTAAAGCTATCCAAGGACACATTTGTAGTTTTGTCTTGTGTGGAATTGCAAATACAGGTGATGGATAATAGAGTATAAATAGGATTAATAATTTAGTCTGGGAAACAGAAAGGCTTTCTCTTTGTGAATAGGATGACTTAAGCTAAATTGATGGAATCTGTATTTTTTTGATTAATTTTTATTAATTCCTTTAAAGATTGGGAAAATATGTCAGATTCCTTTAGTCTATGTGATAGCAAATCTGCTATGTAAATCTTTAGTATTTTAGAGCTCATTTTTGCTTGGCTAAATTTTAATTAACTTTGGAATACTGTCCTGAAGATACCAACCTACTGAGCCCTGTAGGGTGCCTCTTTGTAATATAGTACTTTAACAAATAATGATTTTTTTTTTCAGTTGAATAAACTGAAAAATAACAAAAATTTCACTTGCAGGATTTTAGATGTTTTTCATGGTTGATAAAGTTGGTTGGACAGCAACTTCAGTGAAATTTTACCATTTGTTACTTTTTGCTTTGAGCACGGTTTAGAATATGAAAACAACTTTTTACTGATATGGTGAACTCATTTCGTAAGTGGAATTATATGGAATGAGTTCTTTAGCATTGATTTTCAGTAGTTCCTTCTGAATATCAATATTAAGCTGCTGTAATAACTAAAACATTTTTTGTCAGGTTTCTTCAGCTGTTTGTTGATAGACTATTTAAAATGCATGTAGTGAAAAAACTTGATAGTACACAAAGCCCTACACGTTTTAGGTATCAATCTGAAAAACATTTCTGTGTTCAAGTGCTATGAGCGGTGAACCCCATTTCTTCAAATAATTCTGAAGTTTTTCATCCAGCATATTGCCATAATTGTGCAGCTGGGAGGAGGAGAAATTTTCTGTAGTACAGTCTGCACCACTACAAAAAAGTAATTTCAGTTGCTTTATTACAGATGCAGTGTTCCTTGGTCTAGGGTACTTTTTATTCTGAATAAATGTATTATTCCCCAGGCTCATTTAGTGTAATTTATTTTAATATAGGTATCTTTCAGGCCCCTAAAATGCTTTTAAGATTAAAACTGATGCTCCTGCCTAAATCCTAACTTAAACTAAAGAAACTCTAATGGAAGGACTGGCTTGTGCATCTCAGGGCTAGCACCCTCCAGAGGAGGCTTGCTGCAGCCATACTAGGCACTAAGACATAACTTTTATTTTTGTGCATGGGTTGGTTTATGGTTTTTTCTTTTTTTTCATTCTGTGTGCCTGAAATGTTGCAGACTACCAGAGGAGTGTCATGGGATGCAATATTGTCTTGGTGTTTCTAAAGCATACAGCACACAGAGGCATTTTAGGACTCAAGATTTTCTTGAATAATGTTGATGACTGTTCCAGGTGGAGGAGCCAGTCTTGGCATAGTGTATATTCACACCGAGTGAAGCAAACTGTCCTGTTAGCTGTGTTTCATTTTCCTCTTGGAGACACAATAGCTGGTCCGTTGAGAAACAGCTCAGACCCCATGAGGTGCAAATGTGGATGGTAAGAGAACTCTTGTCCCAGCAAGTAAGAAAGGACTACAGCAAATTGTGTAGGCATGCCTTCAAAAAGTCTTCTCTACCAATCTCAGAGCAAATCAGCTTTCACTGGGCATTGTGCTACCTTGGCTGGATTACTGACATGGTCCAAGGTACTTGGACTGAAGCTAGATAAAATCTCTGCTTCGCTTCAGCCAGTGCTGTAGTTGAGGTGCAGAAAAATGGTCTGAATTTATAAACAAAAATGTTCTGTCATCTGAACACCACAAAACTGTTTCTTTCCATAACTGGTATGAAGTCTTCCAAGCTGTACCGTTCTTACCTGATCATAGGGAAGAATGCAGAACCGTGAGTATCTTTGAATTCATGAAGTGACCTTCAAGAGTCTCGTAGCATCTCAGTAATACTTACTGATATAAGAACTCCTAGCTTGAAAAAAAGTATAGACTGAGGTTTAAAAAAATTGCTTCCGTAGGAAACTGGGTGGCTGTATGATGAGAACGATAATCTTGCAGTTATCAAGGCAGGGTAAAGACTTCTAATACATACATCAAGTGCTGCAAGACATGGACCTAAGCCTTTTTCCTCACAAGTCATCTCTGAGGGATAGGGAGGGTAACTAGAGGGGGTTTTGCAACCTTCAGGGCTACAGTGACAGGTATCTGGTATTTTAAATTTACTCCTGTATTCTTGTATTCCTGTATTATTGTGTTTAAAATATATCTAGTTCTTTAAATATAAAATGATTGTTAATCCAACCAAAATTACTTAATCTTTAGGATTGATACTTGATACCCAGCTTTTAGAAGACCAGCTGCAGGGATAGATTGTACAAACTGAAAGTGGCATAGAAAGATGTACATCAGTCAAGTTGGGCACTTAAATCAATTAATGGGAAAGATGTGCATACAAAATCCTGCCTCTATCCAGGTGTTGAAGCCTTTATAATTCTGGAATTCAGCACTTAAAACTCCTCGAGTTGAAGCTGTCCCAGCTGTGCCAAAGCTGTTTCTTTGAATATAGTCTAGTGTAGTTTGCTGAGGGATTCTTAGTGGTGCCAGCAGTTTCATGTTATATGTAGTCTGCATTATACTTACACATTTTACCTGATCAAGCTTTAACACAAAAAGATGTCGGAGCAGGCCCAGAATGCTCCAGAGTAGGTGAATTCTTTCCTTGCTGGGCTATGCTAGTGAGCCTTCTCTTTTTATTTTTCTAGCTGGGCCCTGTGAATTGTGTCTAAAAGGTATGCTAATACAGAAATACACTAATAGTTGTAAAAGGGTGAAGAAGCATTACATGATTAGGACAGGAGGACAGGTATGTGAGTTTAAATCCCTGGAGGCTGAGAAGGCAACTGAAATCCAGTCTTTTTGGGCAGGTGCTTTACTCACTAGACTAAAAGTAAGTGTGCGTTTACTTCTCTGCCCAACTATGTTTTCAGTCCAAGGGTGGCGGTGGTAGCATTTTGTTTGAACTCAGCAGTTTCAGTATACTTTGAGTGTATTCTGAATATACCCACTTGGGGCTCTGCCCTTTACAGTGCTTGTATAGGACAGCCACTTCACAAGTGAATATAGGTGTGCAGGAGATTGAATGCTTCAATAGCTGAACTATTCCTTGCTGAATTTTAGTTCCTTAAAGGAAAGTTGAGTATAACTGACTCAAAATTAAGCAACTCTACAACTGTTTTGATTTTAGTTCTAAAGGCGCTTCCTTGGGCTTACAGATTTATACGTGTGTGTGTGTATGTGCATGTGCGCATGTCAAGTAGTATTCCTTTAGCCAGACTATTCCTAACTGTTTAGAGTCTCTCAAGTTGCTTACATATTTGTCTTCTTTCAGTTAATAATGGGACTTGGCACTCAGGGAGCAGAGAAGAAGAGTGCAGCATCTATTGCCTGCTTCCTGGCAGCCAACGGAGCTGACCTCAGCATTCGTAATAAGAAGGGTCAGTCTCCTCTCGACCTCTGCCCTGATCCTAGTCTCTGCAAAGCATTGGCTAAATGTCACAAAGAAAAAGTCAGGTTTGTATAGTCATAAAATACGCAATTTCCAAGTCTCTGCTTTCTGTAGATTTACTGACGTATTTAAAACATTGCGTTATTAGCAATAGTGTTAAAACATACAAGATTTTTCTTGACTTTCAGTTAATTCTTTATATTCTATGGTACATTGAACACTATCTACAAATACATTAGCTGAAACTTACACAAGACTTACAGGACTTTCGTACATGTTAATATGGGAGGGATGAGAATGGGAAGGTGGCAGTGCGAGGGCGGATGTTGGTAGAACTTCAAAACATCCCAGAAAAGGGAGGGGGGGAAATCACTGAAAGAATAACTAAGCATTGGGACGGGTTACCCAGGGAGGTTGTGAAATCTCTGTCTGTGCAAGTTTTGAAGACTGGAATGGGCAAAGCCTGGTATAACCTGATGTGAATTCAGTGTTGATCTTGCTTTGAGCGGGTGACCTCCTGAGTACCTGTCAACCTGAATGATTGTATGATTCTGTAAAAGGAGGAGAAGGGGGTAGGTCTGATGTCTCAGAAGCACTTCTCTAGGAATTATGATTTCAGTGAAATGTCATGTTGTCAAGTGCATGCAGTATGAGAAGTTTCAGCTAGCTACTTGTCCTAGTTGTGTTCCCATCGTTGGCTTACATGATTCTCATCCTTAATTCCTGTATGGAAATAGAAAATGTACTTTCAAAATGTCACGAAGAGAGACTGTTTTTGTTGATGCTGCCCTGGTGTGTAAGGTGCTTATTTTTTCCAGAGTCTGTCCGTGTCTGTCTGTCTCGCCCTCATCCCTGTGGCTGTTCTTTCTCACCACCTTTTATGGGCTTGTGAGAGCTGTAGGAATGAGCTGGTTAGGTTCAACACGTGCTCCCTCTGCTGGGTGAGCAGCGGCATAGGACAAAGATCCGAATTCACTGTGGGAGTTTGGGGGTTCTTTTACAAGCCTGTCATTTGCTAAGTATTGGAAGTATATTTAAGGTTAAGGTGTTAAGCTGTGCAGTTCTGAATCTACAGGGTATGTCTCTATTAATAAAGTAAACTCTTAGGATGGGAGGAAAGGGTTTTTTTTACATTCACGAGATGCTATTCTAACTTGTGTGGCCTGTTTCTGTACAATGTCTTATCTTAACATGTGACATTGCACTCTGGTGTCAACTGTACGTTTGGGAGAAAGCAGTTCGGATTGCTTTATGATGATACACTGATGCCTGAATGCATAGGAATATATAGATAAACAGCCAATTGATATGCGTTTTAGGTTAAGAATTTTAAGAATTCTTAAAAGTGAGTTTGACTGCTGGGTTTCTTTGTAGTGGTCAGGTTGGTTCCCGAAGTCCATCTATGATCAACAATGATTCTGAAACCTTAGAAGAATGTATGGTGTGTTCAGATATGAAGAGAGATACTCTGTTTGGCCCATGTGGACACATTGCCACGTGTTCTCTGTGCTCACCACGGGTGAAAAAATGCCTCATCTGTAAAGAACAAGTTCAGTCTAGGACAAAGGTAAAAACTTCCAAAGTTTATTGGTTCTCTTTCTGGTTTTAATGGAAAACTGAAAAAAGAGGTCAAGGAAAAGTGTAATATATTTTAAGCAGTATTTTGCCTTACAGGTATCTCACTGGATGGAATTAATTTTGCATCGTAATGATGTCTTGTCCCGACATTGTATGTTACTCTTTCCTGTTTGCCTGTATTCATGTCCTACCTGCCTCTCATTCTCTCCTCACCTTGCAATGTCTTTATTGTTCAGGTCCTCGGAGTTCCTAATACAGTCACCTAAGGATGCTTTATTTAAATAGATTCCCCACCCCCCAACCATGGTATTTTTTTTTTTTCACATTAAGATAAATTGCTGCTTTTCCTAAAGTATAATTTCCTTCAGTAATATCCAGTTCTTCTGACTTCTTTTATTCCTTAGGGCTGCTTGGAAAGATGATTTGCCTGTAAACTGAGTTAGTTAATACGTGCTTTTTTTTGAAGTTAATAATTACTTTCAGCTTTCACCTTCTCTTTCTTTGGAATCGTGAATTTCATTATGCTGTCTTTCTCCTTCAGAGTATCAACCAGTTGTGCCCTGTTTTGAAGACCTAATGCCAGTAAAGTCCTCAGGTTTCTCAAATGGTTGCTCCCAAGTATTTGTGAGCATATATGGGTGCATCCCCATTGCTTTTCTGTTTGCATATTCTTTTATTCCCCATAATCACCAAGTCTTGTCCTTCTGTTGCTTTTTGGCTGGTTTTGAAAAAAAAAAAAAAAAAATCAGTATCTGTTCAAAATAACATTTCAGACTCATGTTCCACACACAGGTTTTCTGATCCCACCCTATTCTTTCTTTTTCCAAACACATTTGACTAGTCTGCTTCTGTGGTATGTTTTTTTTTCTCTACCTCAAAAGTAAATACAGGAATTGTAAGTGTGAATTTGTACTGTTTTTACTATTCACTCCCTTATTCTTACTTCTTATACCATGCAGTATTCTGCAGTGCGTATTTTCAAAGGTCAAACGTTAACATAGTGTGAGCTCCTTTTCTCTAGACTTTCTTTATAGTCAGTGAAAAGGTTCTGCCACTAGAGCAGCAAAGTAAGGCTTCTACTTCCACTCATCCATCTAAAGAAGCTAATCTATGCAAATCAGCTTTCCCAGGTGAAAGCTAACCTTTGTGGATAACCTTCCTTTGATTTCTTTTGCTAAATTAGATTGAGAGAATGGAATATCTGTTCAATACTTCTCTTATACTCTTCTATAAATAAACTTACGGTAATACCTGCAAGGCTAAGAAATTAATGAACCTGGACAACAGTTCTATGAACTGGAAGAGGTGATACAGGCCAGTATGAATGGAATGGTATGTGGTGTCTATGGTCACACTATATATATACAGCTCATCACATTAAAGGGCTTGAGAAATCCTAACCCAGAATATTAAGAGAGATTACTATAAAAGTCCTTTATAAGTGGATTTCATAGACTCATAGAATAGTTTGGGTTGGAAGGGACCTCTGAAGTTAGTCATCTAGTCCAACCTCCCTGCAATGAGCAGGGACATCTTCAGCTAGATCAGGTTGCTCAGAGCCCCGTCCAACCTGACCTTGAATGTTTCCAGGGATGGGGCATCTACCACCTCTCTGGGCAACCTGTTCCAGGGTTTCACTATCCTCATCGTAAAAAAATTCTTCCTTAGATCTAGTCCAAATCTACCCTCTTTTAGTTTAAAACCATTCCCCCTTGTCCTATCGCAACAGGCCCTGCTAAAAGGTCTGTCCCCATCTTTCGCATAAGCTCCGTTTAAGTACTGATAGGCTGCAATAAGGCCTCCCAGAGCCTTCTCTTTTCCAGGCTGAACAACCCTAATTTAAGTATATATGGTGGAACAAAGAAAGAGAAAAGAATAAAGAAAAAGAAGCATATACTGTCTTAGCTGCATCTCTATGCCTACCAGTGTACTGAACATATATTGCCAGCAAATATCTATTCTTAGAAGTCTGTGGTAACTCATTTAAGTTGCATTTTGAGGTGCTGAATTAGTTAAAATAACACTAGAGGGAGCTTCTTAAAGTCTGCACACCTTGCCAAAGAAGTGTAAAAGCAAATTAATGTGGAGAGCAGGAGATAAACTTTTCTCATACGTGTGTTTATTGTTCTTTACAGATTGAAGAATGTGTAGTATGTTCAGACAAAAAGGCAGCAGTGCTTTTCCAGCCTTGTGGTCATATGTGTGCCTGTGAGAGTAAGTAAATTTGATGGAAGTTCTTTTTGAAGTAATCCTGAAACAGAACATTTTTCATCAGATTGCTAAAAGCTCATTAGTAGTCTGACTTCAGGTCCAATTTACTTGATAGTCTGGTGTGATAGTCAGAATTTTGGCGTGATTTGGCGTGCTGGTGATGAAATAATTGGAGGACAAACTGGAAATTTTAAAAAATTCAGAAAGCAAGTGCTCTTCCATCTGAATTATTTAATTGTGAGTAGGCTTGCTCAGATTATAGAAGCCTGCTGTATATCGTAGTAGTAATTACTTCTGAAGTAATTAGAATTAATTTTATTGCTTCATTGCAGCCTTTTTTGGGGCATTCAAATGTGCAAATGGTGTTTTAAAAGAATATTGTATATAAATATTTAATATGCTTCATTACTAATCTACAGATTTGCACAAGGGCTGTATTTTTCTCTAAAAGACACATCATATATCTTTGCAAAGAGCACCAGTTATGATTCACTCTGATTTATCTCATGTAGCAAAAAAAGATGTAGGAGATCTCCCTACAATTTTTTTGGTTTTGAGAATATGTGGATGAGAATGCAGCCATCACCTTGTCACCAGACATTTCAGGGCTTTGTTGAAGGGTCATTTGCCTAGAGAAGAGCAGTCCTTGTTGCTGAGGATCTACATAAGAGGGAAGGTAATCATTCCCGTAAGTAACTGCTTACTTGGTCTCGCTAAAGAGGTCTTGTTGCTTCCTCTGTTCTGGCTGAGAGACCTGACATTGAGTCACTGACTTTACAATTATCCTGATCTGGCCTCTTTCACTGTCTGCAGTTAAAAGATGGTAAGAGAAGGTTTTTTTTATTAGTTTCCCAGGAAGAGGACAGCAAGAAGATTGATTTGCTGTTGTGAAGGATTTCAGCAGTGCAATACACATCACCAACTCTAAGCTGTAACAAGGACAGCAAAAGGTTTAACAGATGTAGATGATTTCTTTAGAGATTATTTTCTGGACATCTTGCTCAAGCAGGATGATAGAGAGTCTTCAAATTTGTGTGGTTTATAGGACCCACTCTATTGATTCACAGTAACCTTCAGCATTTATGAGACATAATCATTTGTCTTTTGTAGAAGAATTATAGCCTCCTTTCTAGGATTATATCAAAAGATATAGGTTTACTCTCTTAAGGGTAAGGAGCTACACCTGTTTGCGCCTGGAGCATTAGCACAGTAAGTGAGATCCTTAGTTCTAAAGGAAAAAGCAGGTAGTCAAGACATTCTTGGAAGTTCTGGTCTCAAATGGGTGTGATTTTACTTTTTTAACTTCTGTAATTCTTGTGGAATAGACATCCATTTGGAGAAAGAGGAACCTGCTCACTTGAAATATGTTAAAAGAAGATAAACAGAATAGGTTTACTTTGAATCCCAAAGAAGACATTGTTTATAGCTGCAATTTGCAGAAAATGATGTGAAGATGAACACGAGTAGTTACTTGTATTATAAGCATCTATTATATAATTACTGTGAATAAACAAGCTCATGGATAGGAAAGAAGGAAAATGAAATAGCAGGGTTCAGAGTTGATTTATTTCTCTGTCCTGTCAGATTGTGCAAGCTTGATGAAGAAATGTGTCCAGTGTCGGGCAGTGGTTGAGCGAAGAGTGCCTTTCATAATGTGCTGCGGAGGGAAAGGTACAGAAGATACCACTGATGATATTTGTGAGTGACTCCAAAACCCATACTCTTTCACATTCCCCCACCAACTTCTTATTCTCATTCTTCTAAATGACCTAAATCTTCCCTCTCCTTTTTAAATAAAAGTTTAATAAAAACAGTGTTAAGCCAGGTATCCCTTTGCTGTTTGCACTGCTTTGTACATTGGTAACAGCAGATGCAATGGTAACACTAGTGATTACACTAAAGGATTGCTTCCAGCATCCAGAGTAGAAGCTGAAACATGTATGACTTCTTGGCCAGTTATTAATGTCCTATGAAGCAAAAGCTGAAGATTGTCTGTAATTGTGCAAATGAGCAAATAAATGTGTGTTGTTTTTTTGTTGATGTTTTTTGGGTGGGTTTTTTGTTGATGTTTTTTGTTGATGTTTTTTGTTGATGTTTTTTGTTGATGTTTTTTGTTGATGTTTTTTGTTGATGTTTTTTGTTGATGTTTTTTGTTGATGTTTTTTGTTGATGTTTTTTGTTGATGTTTTTTGTTGATGTTTTTTGTTGATGTTTTTTGTTGATGTTTTTTGTTGATGTTTTTTGGGTGGGTTTTTTTTTTTTTTTTTACTTCTGGAACTTTCTGACTGATAAAGGAGTGGTAAATATTTTGCATCTAGGTACAAGCAACTTTCACGACAGATTGTTCAGTTTTACATCTCCTGCTTTGACTAGTTCTTAAACTTCTTGTGACTTTTCTGAATAATTTCTATGAATTGTCTGTATTTACTCTGTGTGTGTATGTGTGGTATGCAATGTTTGAATTGAGTTTATGTGAATTGGAATATTGGGTCATTCTCATCATACTGTTCCTAAATAGATAAATGTAAGAATAATCCTTAAAATCAGGTTTTTAACACTCACAGTAGAAATTTAAAATTTGTCATTTGAAATACTTCTCAATTTTTCTGTTTCTTATAGTAACATTGCTTCCTAGATCAGTCAAATACAGGAATATTAATCTGAGCTTGTTCAAATTTTGAACAAACCACTTCCCAGATGCTTGTGCAGTTTTGAACACCAAATAGAACCGGCTGTGTAGATAAAAAGTCTTTTCAGTGTGAAAAGATTTGGCTTTATTTTTTACATGTGCAAAATAACTTACTGCAGGAACTTCACTGGCAAATAAGAACTCTGAGAACATTAAGGGGCTACAGGCATTTTGAGCATCATTATTGAGGAAATATTTGTCAAAGAAGTATTGCCACTAAACTCAAAGAAGTTCTTTATGAATTGAGCTGCAGTGATGTTGTAGTGAATTTAGTTAGATTATTTGACTAACATTATTTCAGATAATTGAAAAATTGTAGTTAGTACACTGGAAATAATTATTCCTCTTTTGTTAGATTGATGGATAATCACATATCTTTATTTTCTCTAAATTACAGCAAGTGGAAACATTCCAGTTTTGCAGAAAGACAAAGACAACACCAACGTCAATGCGGATGTACAGAAGCTGCAGCAACAGTTACAAGACATCAAGGAACAGGTAAAAGTGCTGGATAAAAATTTTATGGACCACTAAAATAATTGAAAAAGCCATCTTCTGTTACTTAAAACAAAATGACATGTTGAAGTGCTTCAATTCTTGAATTTTAGTTAAATAACCATGTGTGATGTGGCTTGTGTGTCTTCTAGGTACAGGTTTAAAAAAAAAATAAAATCGAGTGGCCATGTTTGATAATCCATGTATTAGAGCATCTGTGTTGGTGTGGCTAAAAAAGGATGGTCTGCCCAATCAGTATGTTCTCTGCCTGTTTAGCTGACCTGAGTGTATAGGTACAGCAGAAGCTGTTTTCATAGAACAGTAATAAAAGTAGATATTCTTTACTATTCCATATTTACCTGAATCTTTACTTGTCTGTTCATGAACTGCCTTTGAGCAATGGCTGGCAGTTACCTGTCGTATGAAGGCTATAGTTTATGTACTCTTCAAAAAATTTCGTGGTTGCAAAATTAAAACCTTTGAAAGTACTGTACATGTAATTTGAATATTTGGAATGTAAATGATAAGGTTTGTCTTTTGTAATTATCCATAGTGTTTGCAGGAGGAAATTTATACAAATTGACTATAAATTGTATTGATTATTCATTGGTTAAGTTACGTGCAATTTAGAAACCTAACGAAAACCAAAAATTAATGTTTCAGATAACTGACAAGTACCTATTTAAATTTGTTATGTGGATAGTAAGTCTAGTTCCATTAGAAGCACTTAAGTAGTTGTCTACATGCAGAACTTTCCTGTGTTAATTACTAAATTGTTTCCTTGCTTTTCCATCTGAACAAAGAAAAACTTGATTTTGAGATTTTTCAGCAGTAAAGGACCTGGGGTATCTGACTCTTGTATGCACTTACTCTCTTAGAACCCTGATAATGTGATTTTTGGCTTCCCTATGTATAACACAATTGGAAGAAACTTTTCATGGATACAGGGAAGAGAGAAGTGTTCTTACTGTATTACTTGCCTTTTCCTTTTGGAGGCTTACAGCAGTCAGTTATACTTCAGTGATGGCAGCATCACGTCTAGTCCTGGTAGTTGTTGCTCTCAGCTGTTCATGTGCGTGTAAGCTAAGACTAAAGTGTTTAGATCACCAGTTTTAGGGCTCATATCTTTAAATGCCTTAAATTTGTGAGCTGATATGCTGTCAAGTTTTAACCTCAGTGGCATGTCTGTGAAGAGCTGTTCCTGTCCTATGGAGCCTTGGCCAGCACCCCAGTAGTAGAAATTCAAATATCCAATTCAAAACAGATTCCTTTGTAATTTTTGTCTCTAAAAGAACAGGCAGATTAAAAATTGTCATTTGAAAAACGCATGTCTGTCTTGATGATAAGATCTGGAGTTTCTAGATATCTCTGACGTTGTACATCTACTGTTTAGCTACTCTTTTACTTTTTGACATTGGATGAAAAGAAGTTACTGCTGTGGCATTTAAAATTATATATGCAAAACATGCAGATGAATGCTTGAATTTAATCTATTTTTTTCAGGTGTATTTTTTTCTTTTCTGGTTATTTTAGGAGTTTACAAAAGGTGGCGTTCTATTTGGGTATGCTAATACTCTTACGTATAGGGACGTGAAAGGAAAACTATGTTACAGTTTTTCTTCTTGATTAGATGTGATCTCAGTTTTTTCAGTGTTCCTTAGGTGCTCTTTTATTCTTAACAATTTTGTCTTAGCTTTGGAATTTGCTAGCCAGAAGCTTTCTAATATCAGAAAGTTATGCTGTATTAGGGAGAAGAGAATAATTACTTTATACGTGTCATTTTCTACTTCTAATTTCTGGTTTTCATATTTGCAGTAGTAAGAAAGATCTAATACCGGAATGCTTTGAGAATTTAAGTGCACTCTTTTGCTTTGAAATGCCCTTTTGTCCAATAATTTATTTTAAATCAGTATAAAAATGAAGATTATTCAGTGCCTCTGACTAGAAAGAAGTGGTTCTGGTTATTCTTGTCTGCATCTTGGCTTGAGACTCTTTCATGTTTTCCTTAGTGTCTTTTCTGCTTAGTCTTGTAACAGGGCAAGTTGTGTATCATACTTGTGAGTAGGAAGTTGGATTTGATTAAAATTAGTCATCTCATCTTTTAAATTTGTGCTTGAAATAATGCACAGCATTTCACTATAATTGTGTATTGTTTTGATTTGTGCTTTAACAGTTCAGTCTTCATGTTACATTGATATTTTTGTACTTAAAATTAATTTGTTCTCTTTCAGCAGGTATAATCCTATGTTTCAACTCATACCTTCAATGATAATCTAATATGTTAGTGCAGCAAGCTTTTAAAACCATTTCTGGTGCCAAGCAGAAGTGATGCTGATGTCAACAGAATCTCCCACATCTGATGACCGCACCATTCTTCAGGGATTCCCTGAATGTGAACCTTTTTGACTGTAATTGCAATACCTTCACTCCATTTCATACATAATCACCATCATCTGTCTAATATCTTATGTATGTTCCTTCACCATACTTACATCGCTTTCTTTCTCCGTGAAAATAAATTTATTTTGTCACTGTGCACCTGTATATTGTTGGAAAAACTGTTTTTAGTAATAAGGAATTGATATTTCAAGCAGTTTAAAACACTTGTCAGAGGTAAAAAATTGATTTGAATTGCAAACCCAGTTATACTTAGAGGTACGATGAGCACTTTTTCAGACTACTTTTACTTATCCAAAGATGTAATTCTCACATAGAACAGGTATAGTGCCTTTTTATACCATTTGTTTTCCTTTGAAAGATGGGAGTCAAATGTTTCATGCAGATAGAAAAAGTAGAGTGTGGTTTCATGCAGAGAACGTTCTAACAAATAGTACACTAGAAACAGATACTGCTTATTTCCTGCTGCTGTCGCACAAATTTGGTATAAGGCGTGCAGTGAACTTTCTTCCACTGTAAGAGTGCATATAAGCAGGTGGTTAAGTAATGAATGCTCCTTAAAAGTTGGATAGAACTCAGTTATTTGGGCTTGTATTCCACCAGGAAACTGCTGAACTAATCGAGAAAATCCTTGTCAGAATAGAATTGCACAGCAAACAGGAAGTTTGGTTGTTCCTGCCAGCTGAATTCTCCTACTGTATGAAGTAACTTAAATGTTAAAGTAGTATCATATTAAGAAATTAAACAGCTAATACATTTTAAATACTCTGCATTTGTACTAAACAGGAGAAATTGGGCAATTTGCTAATACTGCATGCAATTGCAGAAAAGATCTATTAAATGGAAATGTTAGGATTTCTGTGCTTCACTAAATGAAATAATCAAAAGTAATGGTGTTTGAACAGATTTTATTTTTTTATTATTTCTGAGTCCCTTGATGGATGTTTTCATTTTCAAATGATGGTGTGGCATTTGGAGAAAAACAGACCCTAGTAACTTCAGTAATTCTGACATATTTGGGCACAAAAGCAAATTATTAAGCTAAAAACATAGAATAAAGGCTACAAGTTTTTTCCCCAAAGATAAGATTTGGGTTTGCTTTGTCAGTCCTTTGTCAAAGGACATCATGTCAATATTATCAGGTTATAGACACTTGTCACAGGGCATCTATATATTCATTGGAAATAGCTGTTTCATTGATACTTGAAGACTGTAGGTTACTGGAAGAAAAATGCTCTAATTGTCCCGTTGGGATGTGAAGGTGGTGACTTGGTGTGAATGGAAAAATGAGCGGGACTGACTGACAGACAGTTGGTCTTTTGCAAATTTTTAGTTTAAGAGTGTTTTGTTATAGTACTGTGGAAAATTCTGACAAAGCTGGAGCACAGTATTTTGGGAA